AGGGGGGATGCCACACAGTGGTAAAAATGGACTTGTCCCAACTTTTTCGGGATTTGTTGATGCCATGAAATTTGGAAACAACAGATTTTTCCCTTAAAATGATACATTCTCTCAGTTTAAACTTTTGATCTGTGATTTGTGTTCTATTCTGAATAAAATATTAGATGGTGGCACTTCCACATCATTGCATTCAGTTTTTATTCACAATTTGTTTAGTGTCCCAACTTTTTTGAAATCCGGTTTGTATGTAAAGTTATGAACGTTAATGAACTTCTAATGATGCACCTACTCTTTGAAGGTGAACCGATGGTACCACACCATCTCTGTCGGACAGTCTGATCAGTTTGATCAAAATCTTCCAGTTTAAAATCCTCACTGCTCAGATGAATCCTCCTCAAAGATACTTCCTCCTCTTCCTCACATCTTGTTCTTTGGGAAACCTTCAAAATGAAAACAGGAGATTTGTGTCTAGTTTTATTTTTTTATATCCTAGAACTTAAACAAAACTCCATTTATGATGCATATCTGTTGATAATAAACCAAAGCTACAGAAATTGTGAGTATGCTTGTTAGAAAAATATTCCTGTCATCAGATCTCAGTGAGCTTCATTGCAGCTGAACACCGTGTTACACTGAACATCACATCAGCTGGTGGACATAAATACAGTACAGTAATATTATATTCACAAAATACTAACAATAATATGTTCATCTTACTGTGAAAAGTTATCCCCCGAGACCTGACGTCAACAATCCGTCGATTAGAACAGAAATAAGCTGCGAAGTGCCGAGACATCTTCTGCTTTAACGAAATAAGGACGACCGTTTATCCATTGTGCCATAAGACTAATCATGCTAACAGGGCTAACACGACGTCCAAATGTCTGTGGGAAACCTCACCCAAGTTGTGCTATCAGCTATTAGCTTCTCAATGACGTCGGAAATGACGGCTTGTAACTTGGGTAACGTTACATCGAAAAAATATCTCCGACTGGGGACGATGTAGTGAGGCTCAACGTAGTCCATAAATCTTCAGAATCCGACATCCTCATCAACGAAAAATAAAACTTCCACACCGCCGACATTTTGAATTTTCCTCTCTGCCGTGAGATCAGGTAGGCGCACGTGACGTCATCACGGTGTGCTGCTGCTGCAGACAAAAACAGCACCTTTTATATCAGCGAGTTATTTTAATGGAATATCCGATATTGAACTTTAACACTAATATCGGCCGATACCATGCCGATAATATCGTGCATCCCGGATGGATGGATGGATGGATGGATGGATGGATGGATGGATGGATGGATGGATGGATGGATGGATAGATGGATAG